ATTTAACCACACTACTATTTTAAAATCAATTTGGACTTTATGTAATAAAATTAATTATAAAGTTATAATCATATACATAATAAAATCGAATAAATAAATATTCGTTAAAATTAAAATTTAAAAATTACTACACGCAAGATAAGATTAAAAATTAGACGCACAAAATGATAAATTTAAAACCACATCACATAAACGCAATTAAAAATTACAACGCACACGATGAGAAATTAAAAATCACAACACACAAAATAATTAAAATTGCTTTCAACCGTGCTCTATCATGTATTAATGTTATTTTAGTCGGTTAATAATGTTGTTGTTATTTAATGTTGGTGTTTTCTTTTCTTGTTAAACAAAAATATCATAAATAATATGTATACTTTACATTATTATTGTGAAATATATAAAAAAATGATAGATGTAATATTTAATTTTTTAAATATTATACTATCTAGTTTTATGAAATTAATATTTGTTAGTATTTTACATTATTATTATAAATAAGTAACTTACAAAAGCAAATAATATGAATATAACTAAACCATATAAATAAATTAGGATTCAAATAACATCTTACAGAACATAAGGACCAAATTGAAATTAAAAAAAAGTTTTGCGTTTTGTAACAGTAAAACGCATATTTGGTGCAAAAGAGGAGAGAGAGTGAAGAAAACTCATTTTGCGTTTTTCGTATTGGTATCGATTGGGACATATTAACTCCATTTTTTGCGTTTGCGTTTGATTTTGAGGGACCGTTGGAGAAGGTCTTAGTGGTTCTACCACAAAACTAGGTGGTAATGAGAGAAGTAATCATTAATCTTATAAACTAGGTCTTCTTTAAAGTTTGTTAAACTGATATTAAAAATTTGAAGAAAAGAAATAAACATTAAACTATATGGATATATTTAATAAAGGGTAAACTCAAAAAGCCTATGTTTTTTCTTTAAATATAAAATAAATATGATGGGAAAAGTATTAATCCTTTTCCAATAATAAATGTTTATCTCCTCACTATTGTAGAATAGAACTTGGATTTTTTTATTTAAATCAAAAATAAAAAAATAACTGGATAAAATTAAAACAAAAAAAAAAAAAACAAACAGGTGTATTCTGAGAATACGTTTTACATCGTTTTACATTGTAAAACATATTCTATGAATACGTTTTTATTTTAAAACGTATTATGAAAATACGTTTTATAAATAAAATTAATTTTATTTATTATATTTAATTCTAAAACGTATTTTCAAAATACATTTTACAATTAAATGTAATGAATAATTTATATTTAATTGTAAAACGTATTTCCGTAATACGTTTGACAATGAATTAATTGTACAACTTATTACGAAAATACGTTTTACAAATAAAATTTATTATTTATATTTAATTTTCTTTATTTTTTGCAATATATTAACTTATTTAATGAGGCGATTTCTGGTGTTCCGTCAGACTTTGATAAGTAAATCGAGCATTAACGAAAAGTGTTTTCGAGAAAGCACGAGAAGAGGAGAAGTTGTTTGTGGCATCGATTTACTATTTCGAGGTCCCGATCATTTATTTAGAGAAGCTCGAGTTCGAGGGTGCATATTAATAAAATAAATGAAAAAGTCGTTTACGTGGGTCCCGCAAGGATGCGTGTGACTTCGGTTTACCAAGAATCGAGTTGGAACGTGTAGATAATTCAGGCACGATGTCATGCGGGACATTTATCGAGTATTTCGGAGTTTCAAGCATTTAATTAGAGAAAACTTGAATTCCCGTGGGAGTAGATTGCTATATATATATTAGCTTATTTAATGAGGCGACCTTGCGGTGTTCCGTCGGCTTCGATAAGTGAGTCGAGCATTAACGAAAAGTGCTTTCGAGAAAGCACGAGAAGAGAAGAAGCCGTTTGTCGCGTTGATTTACTATTTCGAGGTTCCGATCATTTATTTAGAGAAACTCGAGTTCGAGGGTGCATATTAATAAAAATAAATGAAAAAGCCGTTTACGTGGGTCCCGCAAGGATGCATGTGACTTCGATTTACCAAGAATCGAGTTGGGACGTGTAGATAATTCAGGCACGATGTCATGCGGGATATTTATCGAGTGTTTTGGAGTTCCGAGCATTTAATTAGAGAAATTTAAATTCCCGTGGGAGTAGATTGCTATATATATTAGCTTATTTAATGACGCGACCTTGCGGTGTTCCGTCGGCTTCGATAAGTGAGTCGAGCATTAACGAAAAGTGCTTTCGAGAAAGCACGAGAAGAGAATAAGCCGTTTGTCACGTTGATTTACTATTTCGAGGTCCCGATCATTTATTTAGAGAAGCTCGAGTTTGAGGGTGCATATTGATAAAATAAATGAAAAAGCCGTTTACGTGGGTCCAGCAAGGACGTGTGTGACTTCGGTTTACCAAGAATCGAGTTGGGATGTGTAGATAATTCAGGCACGATGTCATGCGGGACATTTATCGAGTATTTCAGAGTTTCAAGCATTTAATTAGAGAAACTTGAATTCCCGTGGGAGTAGATTGCTATATATATATTAGCTTATTTACACTAATTTGAGTTCGATTACACTATAATTGACCGAGATTGTACTAATTTGACTTCAATTGGACTAATTCGAGTTCGATTACACTATAATTGACTGAGATTTTACTAATTTGACTTCAATTGGCCTAATTCGACTTCGATTACACTATAATTAACTGATATTGTACTAAATTGACTTCAATTGGACTAATTCGAGATCAATTACACTATAATTGATCGAGATTGTACTAATTTGACTTCAATTGTACTAATTTTACTTCAATTGGACTAATTCGAGTTTGATTACACTATAATTGACCGAAATTGCACTAATTTGACTTCAATTGGGCTAATTCGAGTTCGATTACTCTATAATTGATCGATATTGTACTAATTTGACTTCAATTGGGCTAATTCGAGTTCGATTACACTATAATTGACCGATATTATACTAATTTGACTTCAACTGGGCTAATTCGAGTTCGATTACACTATAATTGACCGAGATTGTACTAATTTGACCTCAATTGGACTAATTCGAGTTATAAATTATTTTTTTTATTTTTGAAATCGACTTTTTTGTTTAAAAAAAAATAAATAAAAATAAAATACAAAATAGATGGATTTTGAAAACGAATTTTTTTATTAAAAAATATTTTTTTATATAAAAAAATTAAATAAATTTTTTATTAAAAAATAAATTTTTATACAAAAATAAATAAATAAAAAATAATTTTTTATTAAAAATAAATTTTTATACAAAAAAATTTAAATAAAATAATTTTTTATAATAAATTTTTTATTATAAAATAATTTTTTTTTGTATAAAAATTTAATTTTTATACAAAAAAAATTTATTTAAAAATTTTTTTTATTAAAAAATTAATTTTTATACAAAAAAAATAAAAAAATCTTTTTTATTAAAAAATTATTTTTTATACAAAAAATATTAAATAAAAATATTTTTTTGTTAAAAACGTATTTTAAAAATACGTTTTATAAATTATTTTTAAAAAAATATTTTTTTATTATTAATTTTTATACAAAAAAATTTATTTAATTTTTTTTTTTTATTAAAAAATCAATTTTATACAAAAAAATAAAAAAATCTTTTTTATTAAAAAATAATTTTTTATACAAAAAATATTAAATAAAAATATTTTTTTTGTTAAAAACGTATTTTAAAAATACGTTTTATAAATTATTTTTAAAAAAAATATTTTTTTATTATTTTATATTTAAAAAAAACAAATGTATTTTGAGAATACGTTTTTGAAAAAAAATTTATTTTCCAAAAACGTATTCCCAGAATACGTCTGTTTGATTTTGGTCCACTCGTTTTTTTTTCTTTTATTTTTGTCCAGTTAATTTTTTTTTTTGTTTTTAAATAAATAAAAAATGATGGTACTCTCTCCTATTCATAATAAGTGTCGTTTTGAGAAGTTGCACAGTAATCAAAAATATTTTTTTTGCCAATAATAACCCTCATTAATGAGAATAGAGTTGAATGTTTTGAGAAAATATAAATAGTGAATATGAAAAGACGTAGTACATTTATTAGCTAAATAAGAGTAATAATGAAAAAATATGTATAAAATATTCAAAACGACTTTTATTTTGTTAATAGTCAATAATGCCAAAATGACATTTAAAAAGAATCCGAAGTAGTAATAACAATAGCTCAAACCTCAAACTAATCAAAGTCCCATTTTCCAAAGATTTGGAGTGGTTTCAAATTCCCAACTCCCCCCTTGTTAGGGTCATACCACCAAATAACGCACTTTCCAACACCATCAAACAAACTAGCAACAACGAGGAAGTTAATAAAAGAAAAAATAACCACTGTTCCCAAAAATTAATGTGAGAAATTAATTGATTATTAAATAAATATATTAAACATTGGTAAGATTATAGTCAGTAATAATGTAATATTTTTCTTTTAATTTTAGAAAAAAATCATATTTTTTCAAATAAAAATATCATATTTTAAAAAATAATATAAACAAAATATATCGAGCTGATAATTAGACCGCCTTATATAATTTTTTATTCTTTTTTTTATTAGACAT